GTTCTTGGGCACTTTTGCCAATTAATTAGAAATTACTCAGGTCTCCTCAGGGGGCGGGGAAAGCACTAAAAGATTAATAAACACAGAGATAAATAAACACAGAGATAAAGCTTGATTTTCCTGCCACAAGGACCAAATACTAAAATATTATGATTTCAAAGTGGGTCTTATTGCTTCAATCTACAAAACGTCTACAAATGGTTGATGCTTTACCAATTCAGAAAATTACTCGGACTGTCCCAATGCTAAATAATTTTTTTCCTATTTTCCTGCACTAAAATTTCAACTTATGTCATCTATTTAAATTATATTTGTCATTTGGCTACTTGGTTAGTTTTCCGGAGTTCACAATTAATCTAAACCTGCTAATTTACTCTAAAGAAGCCTTTAGACTAAATGGTTTTAACATTTATTACTTCCCCTTAAATCAGTTAAAGATGAATAATTATCTAAAATGAGATAGGTTCTTATCAAGCACTTTTTAAATAGACTTTAAAATATCTCCAGTCTAGAGTTACTTATATTATAGAAAATTTAAATGTTCCAATTTGGCTTTCTTCAAGGAGTATTTTTGAATCAATTTTTAAAGTAAATAAACATTACACTTTAAAGTTTATTTGAAGAGTATGCTAGCAAGCCTTCCTATTCTTTCTATTCACGAGCAGTTTACAGCTTGTGTCTACCACCAACTTTTGTAAAGATATTTAAACGGGATTTGGACATACACAAATCTTTCATTCCATTAATATTATTTACCCTGCAAAACAAGTCTCCTTCCTCCTCAAGAAATAAGTTTAAAAGAAACTAGCCTCTCACATAACTCGAGTTCAAAGTTGTCATGGGGATACTGCAACTCAGGACACATCACAAAGATTTATTCTTCTCCGCCCTAAAAGCTACTATCGACTACGGTAATCAGTAAAATGCTCAGGACTTCAAGGACACTGAAGTTAAACAAGGTATTTGTCTTTGTTGTTGACTTTAAAATGTTACCTATCAGAGCCCCTCTCCATGGAGAATTGGGGCATTCCCTGGAGAACCCAGCCCTACGCCTGGCCTCCTTCCCCCAGGCTGGGAACAATAAAGACTCCCCGGAGAAGACAGCGTGAACGCCCCACGTAAATCTCTTTAGTCAGCTGACAATCCAGAGACAAAACTTAAAGTCTACTTTGGATAAATAAAATTTAGGAAGTTTGCTTATTCTTAATTAAGTAAAATCTACAGCTCCCATCGCCTCCACACTTCTCCCCACTCCTCATTCAGCAGCTGCAATCCTATAACTAAAAATAAGAAAGAGCTACTTTTTATAAATCATGAAATCTGATCGTGCTGGAAACTCTCACCATTTCCCCCCAGTTCATCCTCTGTCTCCTAACCTGGCTGCTTTGGGTGGCCCTGGGCAGTGACAGACTCAGGGGAGAAGGGCAAGGCCAGCGAATATCATCCCAGGACCGAGAATGGAACCCAATTCAGCGGCAGCTTGCGAGGGCACTGGCCTCTGGAGATTGAACTCACCCCAAAACTCCCCACCAGCACCAGCACCAGCACCAGGGAGAGGTGAATGGAGCAGGTTCCCAGAGAACAGCCCCCTACTCCACCCCGCACTGTGCAGGTTGAGAAAGCTCAGTGCTCAGGTTTTAGCCCTGCGCATTCGCTCGAAAAAGAGTGCCTCCAAAAATGGTTTGTTTAAAAAAAAATATATCAAAGTGGAGAATCAGTTAGGAAGCTGGGAGGAGAGGTGCTGGGGGGTCGAGGTCTCTCTAGCATGGGAACACCTGTAATGGACAAGCAAAGTTAGGGTCATTCATCTCCCCCACCCCCAGACTGGCTTATTCTCAGCAGCTTCCTGCCTTCTTTAAAGACTCTTTATGCAAAAGCTGGGTGTTCCCAAACCCCTTTCCTTTTTTTTTTTTTTTTTTTTGAAACATGCTCTGAGTCTACACAAGATTTTTCTAACTTTGCAGTCTTCTACCCAGAAAGGGAAAAAATTAGTGAAAGGATAGGCTAAGTTTAAATTGAAAAACTCACAACCTGTCTGTAATTGCACCCTACCACCTCTAAAAGGATATTTCTCACAAAAACAATTACTTTAAACATCCAAAGACTCCAATTATGTCTTTTGGACTGCTTCTCTGTCCTGTGTAATGCTGGAAGAGGGCAAAGGGAAACGGAGGTCACGCTAAGGTGCGTCGCCAAGCAGGCAGAGCTGCCCCCTACCCAGCTCACACAACCTTTCGGATTCCCTGCTGGATTCCTGACTGACAGAAACCTCACAGCCTAACCACCACCCCCTTCCATCCTTTGAAGATCCTTCTCCCTGTCTCTCTGCTCCCAGGGGCCAGATGTGGGTCCCTATGCAGCAGGAAGGGTGACAGGGCTCTGTGGTCTCAAGTCTCCAAACTTCAACAGGGCCCTCCCCACCGCCCCACTCTACACACAGACCATAAAGATGGTCTCCAGGACCAGCTTTGCAAGGAGAGGAGAGGGGATTTTCAGCCCAATGTTACTGAGAGAGGGCAATTCAAATAAGATCCTTCACACCTTCAGGCCACTAGCATTCCCAGGCTGTCCGTACACAAGGCTGGCAGTGCCTCACTTGACCCTCACTAATTAGGGTCCCTAAAAGATTTGCTGTCCCTAAGTGAAGGGCTCTCCCGCAAAGCCCAGACCTGGGGCCTGAGAGCGCCAGGTAGGGTACCTTAGGCTGATGTGCCTCCTTGTCTTTGCCACTGCTTGACTCCCACAGCTCCCCTCAAAGAAACAACGGCCCAAAAAAGCCCATTTTTTTGTCTTAGGAGACTGTCAGGTTATATCCAACAGGTTAAATACAAAGAGAGGCCTCTGAAAGCACGGAGAAGGACCTAGGATGCTGAAGCTGACGAAAGAAGCCAACGTGCCTCTGTCAGGCCAGACAACAGTTCACACCCTCCCTTGTCCTTGAAGAGCAGGACAAACACTCTTCAAGATGTGGGGCATTTGCAGGAATTTTGACAATTGTGTTTTCCCAGTTCACTCCAAACTTCCCCCAGACACTGGAATGGAAAGCATGAGTGGGATTGGAAGCTGAAAAATTGTTGGCCTGGATGCAGGAGGAAGAATAGGTGTGAGTGCTCCTGGATCCCTGGCCCCAGCCTGGGGGACGCAGGCGGGAGCAACAGCCCAACACCCTGCCGGCCTGCTGATGCCAAGCAAAAGGGCCCCGGCACCAGCCTTCCCTCGGGACAGTCACAAGGCTGACCTCTCTTCTTGCCCTCTCACTGAGGGTCAGGGAGATGCCAACTAGGTCCTTTTCCACCATGGACCTCTTTAAAACACTCTCGTTGAGGGAAACACACGCAGCTCCCGACCTTGGGAGAGTTGAATTGGGTGACTGTGTGTATTGGAGGAGAGGGTTAATCGTATGCCCAACACGCTCCTAAAGTTACCCTCCAAATGGACTCTCACGCTTGCACCCCGGCAAACTGGAGTCTGCGACCAAGTTCAGGCCCTGTCCGTTCCCTCCTGGGCTTTTTTCCAACTGCCCACTCCAGTCACTATCCATCAAGTCCCTGGACCTCCTCCCAGACACTGAGGCGTATCTGAGCATCTAGTCTCTCTCGTTCAAAACAGAAGCACCACAACAACGCGCTCAGACTCCGGGCACCCAGGAAACAGGGCCCAAGTCAAGTAGCTACTCCACACCCCCTCGCGCCCCGACTCCCATGCCGCGGCGCGACCCTTACCTGCGCTGGGGCCCCGCGGCACAGGGAGCGGGGCTCCGGCGCGGCTCTGCAGGCTGTGCAGCACCGGGGTCTCGAAGGGTCCGGCGGGCCAGGCGGGCGTCAGCGGTGCACCCACGTAAGGCGAGTAGGCGCTCGGGTGGTGGTGGTGATGGTGGTGGTACGTCCCGTTCAGCGGCCGCGCGGCCGACAGCGAGCCATACTGGTGCTCGCGGCCGCCCATGGCCGCCAGACTGCCGCCTCCACCGCTCACGCCGCCCGCGCCCCCGCCGCCGGCCGCCGCGTAGCCCCCCGGGTCCCGAGCCGCGCCGTTGGCCATGGGCGGGCTGGGCGAGTAGGGGAAGCGCGCCGAAACGTGCGCCGCGGCGGAGCTGGCGCTGCCGGGCCCCGCCGCCCCGCCGGCCGCCGCGCCCCCTCCGCTGCCGTACGGGGGGCTGTCGGCGGAGGCCTGGGGCCAGCCGGGGTGCGCGCCCGCGCCGCCCGCGTGATTGGCGGGCCCGCCGCCCGCCCCCTGGAGGTACGGCAGGCCGGGCAGCATGGAGCCCACGCGCGTAGTGGGAACGTAGACTGGGGAGCTCGCCGCGGCCGCGGCCGCAGCCGCGGCGGCCGCCGAGTGCACGAAGCCGCCGGGCGCGCCGTCGTAAGCGGCGGGCCCCTGGCTGGAGAGGGCGGCGAGGGTCTGGTACATCTCCTCGGGCTGCTCGGGGGCGAAAGGGCTCAGCTTGGCGCCGCGGCTGGACCACAGCAGCTTGCTGGCGGTCGCGGCCTGGTCGAGGTCAGTGAAGAGCAATAGGTCCTCCCAGCTCGACAGGGCGCCCCCGGGGCCAGAGATCCCCGGCGCCGAAGGTCCGTGGGGAGCCCCGAAGGGATGCGAGGCGTAGGGGCTAAGCAGCAGCGAGCGGGCCGTGGGTCCCGCCGCCGCCTCCGTGTCGAGCTGCGGTGTCCTGCAGTTGCTGGCGCCGCCGGGGCCGCGCTCCCCACCGCGAGAGCAGCAGGAGGAAGAAGAGGAGGAGATGGGGGAAGGCGGCGTAGAGGGCTCCCGCGCTGGAAAGGCTCCTGAGTCGCCAGCGTCCGCAGGCGCGGCCCCGAAGCGCTTCGGCAGGCACCAGCCGCCGTCAGTCAAGGCCATCCACGGTCCGGCACCGCTCCTAGCTGACTTCTAGCTCCTGAGACCGGATGGGGAGGGAGACAGGGTCGGGAGGAGAGAGAAAAAAGGAGTTATCCAAAGCGCAGGCTGCACAACATCTTGCCTCCACTCCCCTCCCTAGCTAAAGAGATTCCTCAGAGATCCCGTTTCAGCCCCGGGCTCAAGGGGTGGGTAAGGAGAGGGGCATGGGGCCTGCGCAGCCGCCACAGGATCTTCCCAGGACCCGGATACAAGCTCTCCCTCACCCGCACGGCTCGGGTCCCTTCGCGCTCCCCTCCCACCCCCTCCGCAGCATCCTTCATCAGCGCGAGCGCCAGACCCCAAGGGTGACTGCGAGGCTGGCCGAGGTTTTCCTTCCGCCCCGAAGCGGCTCCCTCCTGGCTGATGGCACACAAAGGAACTTTTTAAGTAGCCGTGCGTGTCGGCGCTGCCTTATCATTCCTCCGTACGAGGGTCGCTCGCTCGGAATGCCTCAATATGAGAGCTGCCCGCGTGAAAATCATTAGCACAGGGAAGGCAACCTGTTCCCGAAAACGAAACCGCCGCGTTCTCCCATACTGGCTTTCCCAGAGCTTCCCGGACTGCGCTGACGAGACAGAACGCGAGCCCCGGAGAGAAACGCAACCCAGCCCTGGAAGGTGGGGCCGCAGGGCGGAGACCGCAGTCTCGGACCTTCGGGACATAGGCAGTTCGGGACGCGTGCGGGGCCGGAGTCTCCTGCCCGACCCGCGTCCCCGCGGCGCCGCACACCTTAAGACACCGCTCGCCTCTGCAGCCGCCAGCGCGTGCGCTCACGCCGGCCGCGCCACGCCGGCCAGACCACCCCGTCCCACCCCGCGGTCATCCCCAGCCGCGGAAAGGCCAGACCGTTCCGGAATCGGACGTAGCGGGGTGGAGCGGAGCGCAGAGAAAAGGAGGGGGAAATGTAAGGGGGGACGCGAGACCGCCCCGGAGCCGAGGCCACCCCAAAGGGGAGAGCAGGAAGAATGACAGGGAGACAAGGAGGGGGTGGAGGAGGGGGGCGAAATACAGCCGGACTGGCCTTCTCGGGGCTGCTTTTCCAAACCGCCAGGGCTCATCGGAGATAACCATACTAAAATTAATACCCACACACAGACCGGGACCAGATAGCAGGAAAGAAGTCTCTGCCCGCCTGACTGCCGGCTCCCGCCCCTTTGCGCCAAGATAACTCGGAGATAAGGCTGCGCACAGATAAGCGCTTCGGGGAGAGGAAAAGACACCATAAGTCGGTCCGCGGTGTCCCGGGAACCTGGGTGCCTGCTGGGAGTGGAGAAGGTAGAAACCCTCGAAGCCGATCGCGGCCCGCAGAGGGCCGGAGAGCCGAGGCCGACGGGCCAGCGACGGGTGGGGGGTGCAGAGGAGGAAAGAAGAGAGATCGTGCAAGAGAGGAAGCAGCCGAACCTCGGGTGGGCGCTGCGCATGGAGAACAGCCGTGGCGGAGGGGGCTCCAGAGCGCTGAGAGAGGCCGAGGGCGCCGGCAGGCGAGCGCGAGTCCGGGGTCTGCGCGGTGTTGCTGGTGAATAAAAAGGAGAGAGGAGGCGCCTCTTACAGCTCTGCCGGAAAACTGCAGCCTGCGCTCCTGATTGGACTCACCGAGCCCTAAACAAACAGCGCTCGCCGAAGGGTGCCAGGCTGTGGGTCGGAACTGCGCTCTGCGAGCAGCTGGGCGCTGGAGGTGAAGAGGAGGAGGAAGAGGAGGAGGAGGGAGCTGGGGGAGGAGAGAAAAGAGGGTGGGGAGGAGACGGCGGGCGGCGGGGGGGGGGGGGCG